TCAATATAAAAACTAAACTTTTGATTCCATATAATTATTTCTCAACATATTGTAAAATTAACAAGTGCGCATACATTAAGAAATTCTGGTACAAGTATTTTGTGAAATATACACAAAAAAGATCTGTTAGAGAGAAAGAAATTCATACATTAGGCAGCTCTTATGCTATTTGTCAACTTGGATACAAATTATACATTCACGTCCAGGATAGACTAAAACCTGTAAATTCTCAGATGCTTGCTTCATGTCTCTTTTTCAATACAGAAAGACAAAGAAGCATGTAAAACGGCTGAAAGACTGAGAAAATTCCTGATATTGTCCTTTAGATCAACAGGAATTATGATAAAAAAGAGAAATATATCCATCTGTCAATCAAACTGATTGACAGAAAAGGTGCATATTGTTCCATGATTATAATGACCAGTGGGTGTGGTCTCTTGCTGACAATCTGATCAACAGATTGTTTTCAGTCCCTCCCTTTTCCTGCATGAAAGTCTATCAACAGCACACATTGGAGAGCTCTACTGTGACTGGATAAAAGCAGTTGCTGGGTGGATCCTATTATTTTGGAGGCGGGGGTGGTGGGGCTCTTTGATTAGCTACAAAGACAACATGATGACATTAAAAACTCCTGTACATTTTCTTATTTCATTTAAATAATTTAAATTCGTTTTCAACATATTCATAATAAACTTTGTTAAAGATGTCTCTTATGGAAAATTTTACTAAAATACAAGTACTGCATTTCAAAACCAAAGTAAAGAGAGGCAGGTAGAATATACATTCAATTGCTTAAAAGAACAGAAAGATCAAACGACTCCTCCATGCAAATAACTTTACTTGAGTCGACAATTCAACAAAGAGGCAACATTTTTTTTTATATTTTAAAAAGTAATCACAAACACTGATGCCCTATGACTTGTTTACTTATTTAAAAATACATGCGGATTAGCATTGCTAGATAAATGTTTAAAACCTCACTGTATCCTTGTAGCTTGATGAAGTTTAGAAAATTATGTCTCCAAATAATCGAAAACTTTACAGGGCTCTAACCGGCTACCACTGGTATTTTAGTAGTCATGTTGCCTAAAATTTTTTATTCGCTTATAAATTTCTTTTTCAGAAGTCACCAAAGGCGATCATTTCAAATTGACTTGGCGTAAAATTCTGAACTTTTAACATTTTTTAACAATTTTTCTAAAGTAGCGAAAAGAAAATTTTTAAAGAGGATGAAATAATTTTTAGAAGTGGATGTCGTAACATTTATTTTTGCAAGATTTTCTGAGATAAAAAAGAAATAATGAATTTGAAATAATGAATTCTTTAACAGTTAAGTGCTTTTGAGAAATAAGTAATAATGTGATACAAAATCATAATCACATAATTGTAGAAATAAAGGGAATTGTATAGAAAAACGTGTACATGCATTAAACAAGAGTTATCTTTCTTGCAATTATTTAAATGCATGAAATAAATATGATTTTAATTTATTTTTATCATGTATGAAGTGATAAAAAATACTATAGAACTATAGAAAACAGTTCAACAAATTATGGAAATGATACATACATATGTGTACACATACCGGTACTACATATAAATACACATGTATTTTGACATAAGGATTTCGAATACAAAAGGTGGAAAATGAACAGATCATGAGATGTGCAGGATCCACAGAATAAGAAAGTACATAATTATATATATCTTTCAATATGTATAAACAATTTACAGGCATATTTTTTATTGTTCACTTGTACAGTCTCGTAGCCTTTCTAACTTAATTACAAAACTATGTCTTCCTCCAAAAATTTGCAATATATTATTGTGAAATATCTGATTAGTTAATTTTTTTTAATACAACCAATTGTGTGACATGAATGCAAGGTTTTGAATGCCATTTTACTGAAAATCACATCCTTAAGAATTTCTCACAGCAAACTCTTACAGTTTTGTTCACTTTGCTAAGGACTAAAGAGGAGAAATACATGAAGATAGAATAGAATTTACATAACCACTTCAAGAGATGTGACTCTTTATAATCAATACAAAGAAACAAAGGCATCTTCATATAAAGAGTCAAATTCATGACAGATTTTGATGAATCCATTGAGGTTGACATTTATACACAGTTAAAATATTTCAAGTCTTATATACACTCTCATTTTATACAACAGGATATAGTTTATTTTTCCTCACCACTACACCATATAGACACTCAAAGCTATGAAAAAAAATATAAAAGAAAGTCAAAGAGTTAAGTTTCTGATGACAAAAGACTGAACAGTTACAGGGCTCCGGCATTCTTCTTCCAATACAGAATTGTATCACCCACAATCTGCCCCTCTTGTCTATGGGGCTTGAACTTTTCTTGAAGTGAAAATTTCGGTTTGATATCATTTTTGTCACACACTGTACTTACCTTGATTTCTAGGATTTTTGCTAGGATAGCTTTTGTTTGAGCCCATATATGGTTCAGGAGGAGGTAACTCATTTCCATTATGAAACCGGAATCTGTTATCAAAATCTACAAAACATCAACCACATCTTCAAAGCTGCAAATTTCATAAAGGAAACAAACAGAGCAATTATCTTGAAGATGAATTACGTACAAAGAGTTTTTTTTTCTGAAGACAGTTTACTGATGCACTTAAACCATATCTTTCCCCTAAAATTATTCAGGCCACCTTTAAAAAATTGTTTGGTTGCCCTTTAGGCTCTAATAAAAATGGTACAACTTAAAACTTTTTTTTACAGTCCAGGATACAATATATTTTTTTTTTATTCCTCTTATCCCATCAACAAATATGTTAAATTTTTTGTGATCTACTAGCCTTACCGTCATTATCTCCCGAGTAATTCCCCGAAGACCGCCTGACGGGGGGAGGGGGAGGCTGCATGCTAGCACCAACATTGGGTCCCCTGGCAGGAGGGGGTGGGGGGCCGCCCGGCCGTCTACTTTGCTGTGAGGCTCCTAGATGAGGGGTGCTGGAAGTGGTCCTCATGGGAGGGGGAGGGGGCTGGGAGGGGCGGTCCAGCTGTGGATTGGATCCACTGTTTCTGGGAAGTGGAGGTGGCCTCGACGAGGGAGGAGGGGGTACCTACAAAACGTAAAAATCTATTTAACAATTTTATAATACAAAGGTAAAATATACAACAATTACATGTACAGATAAAACTCAATGAGACTACAGACAAACCATGGTAATGTAAGCTCAAAAAGACTGAGAAAAATTCAAAGATCCTCAATGTTTTGTGATACCCATGGTTAAATACTTAAAAAATAAGTTGTTGGGTTTTCTCATTATCAAAGGAGTGCTTGCATCCAATATTCCCATTTTGTTTTGAGACTCATTTTGGTCTGGATTCCAGAATAAATGGTGCAATTTATTTTAAAATATGTGTACTAAAGTTCAAAATTTTAGTTAAAATTGAATTTTTTTTTAATTTCTAAGATGCATTTCATGGCAGACTTGTTGCATAATTAAGATAATCCAGACTTTTAAGGAAGATCTATTATTAATAAATTGATATTTTTAATTGATGTAAACTTCAATAGACATATAACCACCTTTTCACTAGTTAATGAGGAGGAACAAAATCTAACTAAACAACAAACATTTCCCCCTATTAAGTATGTTGAAAAGGAAGACAGAGACTCTATGTTAAGTGTACAATTACCCCCTTATCATTAACTGTGTGTATACATGTACATGTATATAAAGTGAATCAAGAGGCTCTTCTGTCCTATGCTCAGATAACTGTAAAATTGAATACATGGGCCATATATCCTTCTTTCATGTTATATTAGGAAAGTTGATTCATAATCATGATAACCTTTGTCAACATGGTCAAAGACTTCAATTACTGAAGACCTTGGGTCTCATTAAATCTGTAGAAACTAGATCTATGTAACCTAACTTTATTCTGTTTTCTATAATTACACAGATTTGAATGATAAACACAGATGATATCACAACTTAATTTGCTTCTCTTTAAAGTGGATAACTGTTGACTATCGATCAAGCACAATTAGCGAGCATTTAATAAACGAACAGCTTCATCATATTCAATGAGACAGAAAAATATTGGATCCTCTCACTCAAATCCCATCCAAATTTGTAGTAAAAAACCAAAACATTCTGAATTACAGTAAAACCTTATTATCTCAAACTCCATGGGACAGAAACAAAAAACTTCGAGATATCCAGGGATTTGAGATATCGAGGGTAAAATACTCAGAGAATAAGCTGTTGGGAATTCAAAATCACTTCGACATTATATCAATGGTATTCAAAATATCGGTGTTCGAGATATTGAAGTTCAACTGTACATGAATTTGAAACATTACTCAAACAAGTAATTATACAGCAATATGACAATGTAAAATCCTGATTGTATGGTTAAAAGACGTAGAAAAGATATAGAAAAATTTCCCCTACATTTTCTACCTCCATTACTGCTTTTTGTCCTGGCTTAGGAGAGAAAAAACTTACATGTATATCTACAATACACATGTAACAGGATGCTGATTTCCTATATATATACAGTTTTGTTCATCTTTGTCCTGGAGAAGAGTATGTAAAAACTAAAGACTGTGTTTGTACATAAATTGATGTGTACAATCAATTTAGGATAATCACTGGTACATGTCTTGAGCGATTGGAATAATCATAAATCAATGCTACACTCATCCACGGTGTAAAAACATTGTCAGAATTTATAAATGTTTCAAATTAATTTTTCATGTTTTCATGAATCGGTAGGGGTGAAACGATACGCCTCCTTCACGGTTCGATACGTATCGTAAAATTTGGTCTCGGTTCAGTTATTTTTGATACGATACATTTTGGAACATAAGGCAGTCTTCACGAAAACTCACTGGTCCGAAGACTGAGGCCAGTGAATATTGAGGTCGGGTCAGTGAAAATCAAAATTCAAGAAGTCCGATGGGCTTGTTGATCATAAAAATCATACAGTCAAAATTTATATTAACTGACTTACTTGCGTAAATTTCATTAACATATAAAATAAAAAGAAGAAGCTCGTGTTGTTGAATCCTATTATTATAACCCTATTATAACATGGATGTATTACGTAACAACCGGAAGTAGCTAGTAATTATTAACTAGTACGTAAAATGTGCAAAGTTCCAACGAACAACTTACCGAAACGCGACAAAGGGCGAAAAATGGCGGCATTTCAAAAGTTGAAGTACGTAAACATGTATAAATTTACAGTTATGAAAATGTATTTTATTTTATTTTTTATGGAAGGGACCAGTAAAAATTTTGGTGGGCTAGTATATTTTGAAAGTTCACTGGTCCGACTGGCCAGTTAGTTTGAAAAGTTTTCGTGAAGACTGATAAGGAAACAAAAACAACAGTTGTTTTATGCTTCCTTTTACTAAATCTATCAAATAAAGTATGTGCAAAATGGCTAGAAGAAATAAATCTAATTAATTTGACTGTTAAAAATTATTTTACAAACTACATGAACTACCAGTCCACAAAAATTAATGTTTTTGTACAAATTATACAGAGGAGCATGTTTATACCTTATGCCAAACCCGACCAAATGACGATCCCGACCAAAAAAAGAAAACCGAATCGAAAATAGAGATTTTGTACCCTCAGTGTATCAAACCGAGAAAAATTACCACGGTGAACTGTTTCACTCCTATGAATCAGCACATTTTTAACTGCACCATAACCCCTAAAATCTGAAGCCTAATTTTTTCCCATACAGCACATACAGTAGTTCCCATTTCATCATGTTCATGTTGTTCAGAAAAATTGGAGCACATTGATTCATAAGAAAGATGGGAATGCCAATTTTCAGCATTCAAGTTCAAGTTACAAATGAAAACCTTAGATGTATAGGTAAACAAACAAGAGGCCCATGGGCCACATCGCTCACCTGAGAAGCTTTGACCATTCTGTTCTTTACCAGATTTCACCCTTGTTATACATAATGCATCCCCACCCTACCCCACTGATCATAATTTAGACATTTTGAAATCTACACTACCCCATGATCCTTCCATGGGCACATATGTTTCAGCTTTTTTGGCCCAGTGGTTCCTGAGAAGAAGATTTTCAAAGATTTTTCCTATATATTTCTATGTAAAACTTTGATTCCCTATAATGGCCCCGCCCTTCCCCCGGGGGTCATGATTCCTACAATTTAGAATTTACACTACCCCAGAATGCTTCCACATAAGCTTCACTTTTTCTGGCCCAGTGGTTCTTGAGAAGAAAATTTTCAAAGATTTTTCTTATATATTTCTATATAAAACTTTGATTCCCCATTGTGGCCCCGCCCTTCCCCCGGGTGTCATTATTTGAACAATTTAGAATCTACATTATACCAGGATGCTTCCACATAAGTTTCAGATTTTCTGGCCCAGTGGTTCTTGAGAAGAAGATTTTCAAAGATTTTTCCTATATATTTCTATGTAAAACTTTGATACCCCATTGTGGCCCTGCCCTTCCCCTGGGGGTCATGATTTGAACAATTTAGAATCTACACTATACCAGGATGCTTCGACATAAGTTTCAGCTTTTCTGGCCCAGTGGTTCTTGAGAAGACGATTTTCAAAGATTTTTCCTATATATTTCTATATAAAACTTTGATTCCCCATTGTGGCCCCACCCATCCCCCGGGGGTCATTATTTGAACAATTTAGAATCTACATTATACCAGGATGCTTCGACATAAGTTTCAGCTTTTCTGGCCCAGTGGTTCTTGAGAAGAAGATTTTCAAAGATTTTTCCTATATATTTCTATGTAAAACTTTGATTCCCCATTGTGGCCCCGCCCTTCCCCCGGGGGTCATGATTTGAACAATTTAGAATCTACACTATACCAGGATGCTTCCATATAAGTTTCAGCTTTACTGGCCCAGTGGTTCTTGAGGAGAAGATTTTCAAAGATTTTTCCTATATATTTCTATATAAAAATTTGATTCCCCATTGTGGCCCCGCCCTTCCCCCGGGGGTCATGATTTGAACAATTTAGAATCTACACTATACCAGGATGCTTCCATATAAGTTTCAGCTTTTCTGGCCCATTGGTTCTTGAGAAGAAGATTTTCAAAGATTTTTCCTATATATTTCTATTTAAAACTTTGATTCCCCATTGTGGCCCCGCCCTTCCCCCGGGGGTCATGATTTGAACAATTTAGAATCTACACTACCCCAGGATGCTTCCACATAAGTTTCAGCTTTACTGGCCCAGTGGTTCTTGAGAAGAAGATTTTTTAATGACCCCACCCTATTTTTGTCTTTTCTTGATTATCTCCCCTTGCGAGGGGATATGTCCCTTCATTTTAACAATTTAAATTCCCCTTTAGCCAAGGATGCTTTGTACCAAGTTTGGTCAAAATTGGGCCAGTGGTTCTTGAGAAGAAGTCGAAAATGTGAAAAGTTTACAGACGGACAGACAGACGGACAGACGGACAGACGGACGGACGGACGGACGGACGGACAGACGGACGGACGACGGACAAAATGTGATCAGAAAAGCTCACTTGAGCCTTCGGCTCAGGTGAGCTAAAAACATATCAGATTCTCAAATGTAAATTACACCTAGTACATATTGCTGTTTGACAATCTGGTAGTGTTGTAAAATCTGATCAAATTTCCCATCGATAAGACAGCATAAAATTTAATTAATCATGTTAAAAGTTGATAGAATGAACTATACACTAATTAAAGTTAACAAAATTAATAATCTGATTACAAGACAAATTTCACGAAATTCAAGACAATTCATGTCTTGTATTCTCTGCACAAGACATGAATTTAAAAAAAAAAATGTAATACAACATGTACAAGTTCCCAGAATCAACTTCCAACCAAATCCTAACCATGTGTAAATGGAAAGATTTTTGCCATATGCATATTAAGAAAAATAGTAAGTTCACTGATCATGCTGATTGTGTTTGAAGATAAACTATTTTGTAAAGGAAAAATGAATATTTACTAACAAAAGTTTAATTTTTTATCAATTTGTGGCTGACTCACTGCCTTCAGCAATGATTTTTTCAATAGTCAGCACCTATCACAAAAACACTACTAATGGCTTGTTGTTTTTAAAAAATTGAACCATTTACATATTTAAGTATGAAACATGAATGTAAAATATGTCACAGACTGATCAAAGTAAAATACAGCTGAAACTTACTGCAGAACCGCCTACACCTGGGGGTGGGGGTGGAAGAGGCCTGCCCACCATGCTGGGTGGTCTGTTGTTAGGCAGTGTGGGTGGTGGGGGAGGTGGCCCCACAGATGGCGGTCTGACCTGTGATGACCTCTGGGAGCCAGAAGATGGCCTAGATTTCCCTCCACCAGGTGGCGGTCGTGAGGGAGGGGGAGGTGGCACCCCTCGAGGCATTCCTCCACTTAATCCATTTTGTGCACTATCATCTGCTCTAGGTTTTAAAGAATTTGGTGGTGCTGGTGGTGGTCCCGGAAGACCAGGTTTTCGATTCTGTGGGGGAGGTTTTGGGGGTCCTGACCCAGGTCGAGGAATGTCACTAAAATCAGGTTTACTCGTTTGTGGGGGAGGAGGGGGCGGGCCTGCACTAGGCCTTGAAACACTGTCACTTAAATCAGGTTTGCTAGTTTGGGGAGGGGGAGGAGGGGGGCCTGGTCGACCAACCAAATCCCCATTCAGAGTGGGTTTATTTTGTGAAGGGGGTGGAGGTGGTGGGCCCCCTACCCCCCTTCCTAAGGGTCCATTACTGAAGTTGGGTCTCACAGAAGGTCCATTAAATGAGGGTTTGTTTTGTATGGAAGGGGGTGGGGGTGGTCCCCCACCAATATTTGAAGGTCCATTTGGCACAGGTCCATTAGACAACTTTGTCCTCTGTGGAATATTCACTCCTCCTTTTGTGGGCTTAAGTTTTGGCATTCCACCAGCGAATAATCCTCCTAAACCCATTGGGGCACCACCGCCTCCCATAGAGTTACTGGATTCACCTAAAAATAGCAGATAGGAATATTAACAGGATATTAATTAAACAATTATACTCCATTAATGTTAATGCCGAGACAATTTTGTAACATGATTGTTGCGAAGTGGTACAATTACATGTCACTGAACAAATTTTACCAAGAACATGTTCATACTGTAACTGGTTGTGTGTGTGCTTGTTTGTGAAAGAAAAAATTGGGACTTTTAATTTTCTCTGTTTGGTCACCATAGCTACTTAAGGACAGTTCCTGTGTTTAATATTGAATATTGAAATCGTGCTGTATTTATGGTAAATGGAGAACAGATATATTTGAAATTTGTAACCCCCCCCCCAAAAAAAAACCTCTCTAAACAAATTTTAATTCCTGTCTTAATCTTTTTTAAATTATGACTAGAGCTGAACCTTTTCTTTCCTCTCTTTTACCTCCCCCCCCCCCCCCCCCCCAATTCATTCTTTCATCTTGTTTTTTTTTTAATTTCACTGTATGTTGTCCTCCCTTTATGGATATGCCCTTGAAGTGCACATACATATATTTTATATAATCCAGTGTTATATACAAGTCTATTTCAATACATTCATGGAAACTGCACCAGGAAATTAACCACACAAGTCATTTCTTTCCTTCTTATCTTAACATAGCTTTTATTTCTGTATTAAATTTTCCTCATATTCTACTTCTTAATAGCTCAGATAAATTTGAATCTCACTTGTTCTCTCTTAAAAATATGCTTTTCATGCAGAATTTAGATGATGTACAGCCTTTGACAGATAATTGTCAGTAATGAATGAAAATACTTGATATCGCGATTACTTAACTTAGTGGAACTCTTTCGCGATGGAGGTAGGAAACGTCTGTTGGGTGGGGGCAAAGTGCTATTGAATACAATGCAAGATCGATAATTGTAGAATTTATAAGGACAGATAAGTAAAAAATCCTGGTGGAATACCTTGCTAAACAATTGCTGAACTAGCCTAATAAATTTTTGAGAGGAGCCAATCCTAAATTGTTACATTTTTAATGATATTTTTAACTAAGCGGACTCTTCTCGTTAAATTTTCATTGAAAATCGTCACATTTTAAAGCAGATAAAATATTCTAAACTTTCCTTATTTGACAATCTACTTTTTGGAGTTCAATATCTTGCAAAACATTGTGCTTTCGGCATTAAATTGTTCGAATCATTCGATTTTTCACTACTGTAAACAATGTCATTTGCCCCCAAAATTTAGACCTTTTTCGACTCCCTCGCAAAAGAGCGGTAGTAAGTTAGATAACTGCGAGGTACTCATTGGTATTCGCGATATTACGTATTGAAATACCCGGAATTTGCTTTGCCCATAATAATTGATAATAGTTATGCAAGAGACATAAATCATATTGAAATTTCATGATTTCAGCGGGCATACATTATTTGCTGATTAGAAATAGTAGGTTTATCAAACAAGAGGCCCCTTGGTCACAAAACTCACTTTAGAAATGAGTTCAATATAATAGTGTGGTCTTCCTTCCCTACCCCCACATCCCATCTCAGGGGCAGGGGAGGGGGTCATAATATGAACAATCTTGAATCTACACTACTTGATGATTTAAATTATCTCTTTTTTGACTTTTTCATCGTGATTTTTAAAAGTTGGCTGTCATTCTTCACTATTTTTTTTTTTCACTAATTAGTAATTATCTCCCCTTGAAAGAGGGTGTGGCCCTTTATGAAACAAACTTAAATCCCCTTTACCAAGGGATTCTTTGTGGCAAGTTTACTTGAAATTGTTTCTGATTTACCAAAGGTAAAATAAAGGCACATTTTTCTAAACAGCAGGAAAAAATTAACCATTGTGTGAAGATGATCAGATAAAGCCCATATTATATTGTCTGCCTGTATGAGCAGTTATAATTACATCAAGTTCCTGTGGTGACCGCTATAGCTTCCTGTCATGTGACCTGCAGAGTCACCTGAGTGTTTGTGGTCTCCTAATAGCAGGAGAGAGAGGTTTTATCCCCGTTATTGACACATTACAGGTCAAATTGACTAAAAATAGATTTATTACCCCCGAAACATCAGTTACATGGCTTAACAAACTTTACCTAATATGTACATGTCCACAAATTAATTGGACAATGATGTTTCTATGAACACACATCTGTAATCACTTCATTTAAGATGTCAAGTCTTTTGATTTTGTCGACGATGAAGCTTGTTTTTCTTTGCATAAAAATTATGAAAAATCACAAAACCTTAATAATATGAACCATAAACCCAAATTTTCAGTTCTATGTTAGATTGGTAGGTCCCAGGCCAGCAATACAGTTAGTGATAATTATTAAAACAACTAAATTTAAATGTTCCATTGTTGAGGAAAAGGTTAGTAAACATGGTTAAGTAAGAATCTTCTCTTTAAAATTGTACCCGTTATATATTAATGATTAGCGTAAAGGTTCAGATTTTGTTTGCTTCTCTTGGTGATCTTTTTCTAATATACAATTTGGAAAGCATGCACATGAACAACAATGTCACAAACTCCAATCATCTGTTCATTTATGTTTTAACATATTTTTTCACTTAGATCTTTGAAGAAGAAAAATAATTTTGAGTTAAAAACTTTTTAGATCCATGAAGTTTTTCTCTGGTCTAATGCAAAGGTCACACAAACAAAATCTGAACCCTGATTACTACATACACAATAAGTTAAATTTTCCTTTATAATTTCCATAATAAACTGTACACAATATAACCATACATGTACAATGCATTAATCTTGTCACTCTGCAACACAAAATACAAACAATAACTTCTCAAACCTTGTACCCAATGACCTATAACCACTCAATCCCCAACATGCAGCAGACAGAAAAAAATCTTAGTTTTTGTTTGGACCGAGTATCTGATTTACCATCTGATTAAAAAAAATTAATATGAACTGTGTTATGACTGCTGACCCCCATGCTTACAAAATTACCCTTGTTCTCAAAAGAATACGACTGGGAGTGTCTCAGTTTGGTTTTGGCGTGATTGTCCCCACCAAGACTGAACTTACGGGCTTTGTCGGGTGAATTTTTTGTAACTTGATCTGAAAGAGTGGTTAAATCAAAAATATGACAAAACACTTCCTGTGAAACGAAAGGTATTTCCAGAGTATAAGCAGTAATAAGTTCCTTGGGTGTAGACCTTGAGTAAAGCAGAAGAAAATTTTCATAAATATGTATTATATGTTTATATTTAAAAGTTCATTTCTAAAACACTGTATGAAAGCTTTCACACACCCCACCCACCCAATCTGATTTTTCAATGTTAAAGATACTAAAATCTAACTTTCCAAAGTTATTTTTGTCTTTCCCAATTTTGACAAATCATTCTTCTGTATAGCAATTTCCTTCTACACTTTTTGGGTCAATTTTATCTTTTCTTTCACAAGGCCAGGATAATTCACATGTTTACATCTGCAGATTTTGTCCTTTGTCATTTTCCAATCCTAGCAAACAAAATTTGCAAAGGTTATAAGGAAAGAAATTAAGTTGGCTTACAGTATTGTAGCTAAGTTCAAATTCATACCACTGATTTATATTTCCTAGAATTCAATACATTCAACATTTCAAAGGTTCAGCTGTTCATATCTTCATCAATAAAAAGCAAATCTGCGAATCTGCAACTTGTGACGTGGATGAACTTATAATTGATTATTTTATTCATTTGTATGTAGATCATATAAATCTAGATGTATTCTTTCTTTATACACTCCCACACTAGATTTTTACATTGAAGAAAAATGCATTTTAAGTATAGAATAATATTAAATATACCATTACAGCATCACTAAAAGCAAAGTTATCACATATACCCCGTTATGTGGAACAATTTATAAAACTATATATACACAGGAAAATCTATGTGAGGTAACATTTGAACTAAGTAATATATGTATCTATCAGCTACACTTCAAATATGATTTTAAGTACTGTGGAATCATTTTACTTCATATTCATGAGAAAATTCTTTTTCAAGAATTCAGTTGGTATCCTTTACACCTTAATCTAATTGGCAAACCCAATCACTGATATATATAATAAAACGACACTGTAACTTGTATCACATGGTGAATAATTACTACTCCCTTACCTTTTTTATTGATATTTATTCCAAGGTCCCTCCCCATCCATCAAATGAAAATGATTTCACAGTTAAACTTAAATTTTACAATAACAGCATAAATACTAATTTGGGATCTAAGCTGAAATAATTCAGTCTTGGTATATATGCTAAGATGGTACATTATTCAACTACAGATACATAACTACAACTCTGATTAACCCTAAAATCTACAACACATTCAGCTACTGTTCACTTACTATCGTCATGGCTCCGGTTCCATGAGTTTGGAATGTTTCTGTCTGAGGCGCCACTGTTGGGCCGCGCGGCGACCGTGTTGAATTTCCCTCCACCACCACCGGGGGTCATCGGCATCCCCATCAAACCACCACCACCCGCGGGCTTCTTCGTATCTGTAAAAAAACAATTTCGGTCATGAGTAAGATTTTTATATTTATTTTCATTTGTATAATTTTTTTTTTTACATCCTTTATGCTGTCCGAGTCCTACCTGTATTAATGAAATGAACATTATCATCCCAGTGTACATGCATCATGTTAGCTCAAAGTGAATCACAATTAAATGTTTTTTGTGAATAGAGATCTGATAGTTCTTTTCTTTTTTAATCCTAATTTTCTTATGTAACATACACTGCCATTTGATGAGGGGGAGTATGATCTGCTTTTATAAAAAAATAATAACTCTGAGATAATAATAAAATTATGACATTCACGTCTGCAGCATCAGATTCTCTTGAAGCATGACTTGCAAGCTTTTCACTTGAATGCAAACATAAACCTGATGTGTTTTACCAAATGTTACAATCTAATCAATTCGATGGCATTTGTTGTACAAACTTGTTGACGTTGCTAACTGACCAATAAATAAATAAAGGCCAGACTTTATGACTTTGAATGCCTCTAACTTGGTCAATTTAACAAGGTTATTACCATAGCATGGACATCTCTATATATATAATGCAATGAAAATACTCTGCATCACCTATCGGTCTGGATGCCGAATGCATTTTACTTTTACTCCAGAAATTTAACATTTCAGCTGTCATCTGGGGGCTTTACTGCCTTGTTTCAGCATCGCCTAGTTCACACACTGACCACCAATACCTGACCTCTTGACCTTGCAAATTATGTCCACTGGGCAAAGCTATAGATGCTCTCTTAGATGTATTAAAATGTAGTACAAACAACAAAGGCAAACTCTCAACATCCATGACGCTTTGAAGATGTATGCTCTTTAGTATTTATTGTTATAATATCAACTGTTCATGTGTAAAATACATGACTGTAATATTGGACTATATATATAACTCATTAGGCTTAAAATAAAAATTTGTTTGCAGTTGCCTACCTAACCAATGAAAATGCACCCGACGCAAACTTTTTTTAGCCAATTAGTAAATTATTTTTTTTCACTTTTTCAGGATATTGAAACTATTTCATTTTCAGTTTTTGACTTTTGTTTTTATCAAGCTGTAGTTTAAAACAATAGTGGAACTTATTCATCTTTAGTAGGCCTTTGAAAAGCTCTATTATTTGTTATAGATC